AACTTAGCTGCGCTCTAAACCCCTAAAACCCTAAACCCTAAACCCCAAAAAACGGAAACCCTCTGAAACCCTCCTCTGGCTCTCGCAAGAACTGGTCACCCTTATTCAGAGGGTCTATATCCCCGAGGGTCCCCCTAATCCTTTGCTCGAGGCATGACACAGAAGCTTTTTTTGCACGCAACACACATCCGCGAACCCCATATCCAAAATCTAAACGCTACACCTGCAGCATCCATGGTTTATACCCCCAAGGCGCCGACCCAGCCCCAAACCTAAGCCCTCCCTAACTCCTAAGCCTAAGCCCTGCTTACAGATCAACGTGAGTAGAGGTTCAAGCAGGAGGGTTTCGGGTTCAAAGGGCCCTGTGCACCGCATTCTAGCTAGAAGTTCGATCCCGATCGTGCAGCGGTACCGATGAAGATTTAAATCACTAGCTAACCTAGCCTCTGAAATCGACAGGTCGCACAAATCGAACAAAGGCGAACCCTATGCCCTAAACCCTAAACCCTAAACCCTAAACCCTAAACCCTAAACCCTAAACCCTAAACCCTACGATCCCTATATCCTCAACTCTACAGTCTAAACCCCGCCAAGGTGAGTGGCGCGCTCACAAGGCAAAGAGCTACCTCCTGGAGCTCGGTTTGGGAGGGGGCGCGACTCGCGGCCTTGGGGGGCCCTGCAAACCGCATAGGGTTTAGGGTTTAGGGTTTAGGGTTTAGGGTTCAGGGTTTAGGGTTTAGGGCTTAGGGCTTAGGGTTTAGGGTTTAGATCCCCTAAACCCCTAGAAGAAGGGTTGGAGCCCCAAACAAGGTTTAGGGTTCAGGGTTTAGGGGTAGGGTTCAGGGTTTACTAAGATCGCAAGCTGGCGCGCTTTCAGATAAGCGGAGACGCCGTAAAAAAACCCAAAAAGTCGAAAAGTCGAAAAGTCGAAAAGCTGTCGACTTTTCGACTTTTCGACTTTTCGACTTTTCGGGTCTCACCGGGACTTCTCTGTACTTTTCGACTTTTCATGGCTTTTCGACTTTTCGACTTTTCGACTTTTCGGGCCTCGCCGGGACTTTTCGCTACTTTTCGACTTTTCGTGGCTTTTCGACTTTTCGACTTTTCGGGCCTCGCCGGGACTTTTCGCTACTTTTCGACTTTTCGTGGCTTTTCGACTTTTCGACTTTTCGGGTCTCGCCGGGAACCCCAAACCCCAAACCCCAAACCCTAAACCCCGAATGGTCGAGGCATTGACAAGCCCAACATTGATGTCATCGTGCACTGCTAGCCGCTATTGAACATCAACACGTAGCTTGGGCTAGGGTTTAGGGTTTAGGGTTTAGGGTTTAGGGTTTAGGGTTTAGGGTTTAGGGTTTAGGGTTTAGGGTTTAGGGTTTAGGGTTTAGGGTGCAGGGTGTAGGGTTTAGGGTTTTCTTGACAGGTGTAAGGTCTGCCCTGAACCAGCCTTATACATTTTTTTACAGTTTCGCGTTTGGGGTTGTGTAGGGTCTGCCCTGAACCAGCCTTATACATATTTTTACAGTTTCGCGTTTGGGGTTGTGTAGGGTCTGCCCTGAACCAGCCTTATACATATTTTTACAGTTTGGGGTTTGGGGTTTAGTCGTCCCTGTCCCCCCAATCCGTGAGGTCTACAGCTTCCAGGACAACTGCGTGTCCATCCAGTCCGTGCCGCCCAAGCCAACCCCCCCCCATCCCCCCGCCGAACGCATAAAAAAAAAAAACCTGGATTGCGGCACTTGACCTTAGACACTTCTCGAAACTTCTCACGTTTTCTCTGCTTTGCCCACTTTTCCGCCTGTAGACATTTCGGCTTTTGGACATTTGGGGACTTTCAAACTGCTCGGAACGTTCAGGATTGTTCGAAAATATTCATGCTTTCGACTTTTCCAACTTTTCGGGATTATTCCATAACCTTTCAGCTTTTTGACTTTTCGACTTTTCGACTTTTCGACTTTTCGTTTTTTTGGTGACTTTTCGGACTTTTCGGTACTTTTCTCGCATTTTCGACTTTTCGACTTTTCGACTTTTCGTTTTTTGGTGACTTTTCGGGTTTTTCGGCACTTTTCTCGCATTTTCGACTTTTCGACTTTTCGCCTTTTCGCCTTTTCGCGCCAAGCGTGTGCCCCGATCAACTTTTCGACTTTTCGGCTTTTCGGCTTTTCGGGTTTTTTTGGGCAGACTCCACTTGCGGCCGCGGACAGCCGTTCGCAATCACAGAGGGTTTAGGGGGTTAGGGTTTGCTAAGCCCTGAGCCTAAACCCTAAACTCAAAAACCCTTAAGCCCCTCTATCCTACAGGTCCCTGGTAATTTTAGGGTTTGAACCTTAAATACAGTTTAGGGTTTAGGGTTTAGGGTTTAGGGTTTAGGGCTTGGAGTTATCTTAGAAGATATCAACATAATTAGAGTACTTATGTGGGTTCTACAGGTCTCATCGTTAAACGCAGTCCCCAGTAGATACCAAGCTAGACCCTAGACCCCCTAAACCCTCAACTTAACACCCGAACCCTAAACCCCAAACCCCAAACCCTAAACCCTAAACCCTAAACCCCAAACCCCAAACCCTATAAGCCCTGAGCTGAAGTGAAGGAGCAGTGCCAGAACACCGAGATCAAGGAGTATCTGGAGTCGAAGGACCCCACAAGCCCCAACCGTCTCTGTTGGTAGGGTTTAGGTTTCGGGTTTAGGGTGTAGGGTGTAGGGTTTGGGGTTTGGGGTGTAGGGTTTAGGGTTTAGGGTTTAGGGTTTAGGGTGCAGGGTGTAGGGTTTAGGGTTTAGGGTTGAGGGTTGAGTCAGCGCTGAGAGTTTCGGGTTTAGGGTTTACAGCGGGGCAGTCAGCAGAAAGAGATCCAAGGTCCGGACCCTAAAGCCCAAAACCCGTCGGCCTCAGCAAGACGAGCTCAACATCATGGCCTAAACTTGGGATGTTCCCCCATATACTAACAGTCCTAATAGGGATGATAATAATAGGGGGCACTTTAATCCCCCATGTTGGCCTTTTAGTATGGGAACCTCCCAAGCCTAAACCCTAACGCCCCCATTCCGTTTAAATGGAATATCATCCCAACAGCTTTCGGAATTAGCCTGTGTGCCGAAGTCCCAAATGCAGACCCTCCCGCCCTAAACCCTAAACCCTAAACCCTAAACCCTAAACCCTAAACCCTAAACCCTAAACCCTAAACCCTAAACCCTAAACCCTAAACCCTAAACCCTAAACCCAGAATCATAGCCTGAGCCGGCCCCGGACTGAACGCCAGAATTATGGCTGTTTTTTTGGGAACCCTGAAACTCCTCTGATTCCCAAACCCTATAACCTGCCAACTCTCTAACCCTAGGTCTTAAACACCGAGCCCTCAACCCTAAGACCCCTTAAGAACCCCCAAAGCTGCCCCAAACCCCAAAAACCCTTCGAAAATGCACATAAAGAAAACGAAAACCCTAGAAAACCCTGAAAGGCCCTAAGAAAAACCATCCAAAGACCCTCTAAAACACTCGACTAAACCCCGAGAAACCCTAAACCCTAAACCCTAAACCCTAAACCCTAAACCCTAAGCCCTAAACCCTGAACCCTAACCCTAAACCCTAAACCCTAAACCCTAAACCCTAAACCCTAAACCCTAAACCCTAAACCCTAAACCCTAAACCCCTCGGTGGCAGGAGAAGCCCAAGGCACTCCCCCGGCTTCCCAGCCACTCAGTCCGCGGCCCAGCCGTCGTTTTTTTTGGTTTGGGGTTTGGGGTTTGGGGTTTGGGGTTTGGGGTTTAGGGTTTAGGGTTTAGGGTTTAGGGTTCAGGGGCGCCCCTAAGAGTCCATGGCCCCGGAACTCCAAACCCTTATCCGCAGTCCGCTAAGCCCCGAAAGCCCTACCCTAACCCGCTAAACCCCTGAAGTCCTAAGCCCTAAAATTACTATACCCCTAAAGTCCTCCAAACCCCTCAGCCCCTCAACCCCCTCAACCCCCTCAATCCCCTCAACCCCTAAAGCCCTAAAGCCCTAAAGCCCTAAGCCCTTACCCAAAAAGCCCAATATCCCTTAATTAGGGAATATTGCTTAATTTACATGGGGATCCTTAATACGATTCAAGGAATGTTCCTGAATTAAGGGGTATTGGGCTCTTTGGGTAACCCTTGAAACTAAAGATTCACCGGTCGGCATCATCAGCCAGTTGCAAATGGCAGCGCCCCGGATCTTTCAGCACCCTTCGCTCATCGGTTTAGAGTTTAGGGTTTAGGGTTTAGGGTTTAGGGCTTAGGGCTTAGGGCTTAGGGTTTAGGGTTTAGGGTTTGGCGCAGCTTCGGTTGTGTCCACGACGGTTGCGGGGAAGGTCAGGAAACACACGGGGGGGTACGACCATAGGGGGTACCTTTTCTGTTTTTTTTTTTTTTTTTTTTGGGGGGGGGGGGGTTCCCTTTTCCAAGGGGATTCTATTCTATTTCGGGTATAAAAAGGGTACCCCTATCTTGGTAAATGCCCATATTTGGGTTCCGCCGGCTGGCAAGGAAGCCCGGGCCCCTAAGACCCAAAACCCGAAACCCTAAGCCCTGAACCCGAACCCGAAACCCTAAACCCGAAGCCCTAAACCCTAAACCCTAAGCCCTAAGCCCTAAGCCCTAAGCCCCAAACCCCAAACCGCAAACGTTAAGCCGTAAACTCTAAGCCCTGACTGAGTTGCTGCCGGACGCTGAGGGGGTATCCATGGCATATCCAGGATGAGGCTGAGGGTAGGCAGAGGATTTTGGGTTTGCGGTTTAGGGTTTAGGGTTTAGGGTTCAGGGTTCAGGGTTCAGGGTTTGGGTTTAGGCGTGAGGGCACATTGCGACAACCGATGTCAAGGCAGCTCACAGATTGTGCGGAAGAGCTGTTAGCTACTTTTCGCATCAGAGTATGAGGGAATGAGATATCCTATATAATCTCTTTCATTCCCTACTAAGAACTAGGGGAAGAAAGCTGCTGTCGATGACGGATGCAGCATTCAACTGGCTGGATACCGCGAGTTTTGATGCCTGGAGATTCTTTCGGTTCACAACTCTGCAGTTCGTCCGATTAAGACAACCCTAATCCTTTGATAAACCCTAAAACCCCAAAACCCTAAACCCTATACCCCAAACCCTAAACCCCAGACCCCAAACCCTAAACCCTAAACCCTAAACCCTAAACCCTAAACCCTAAACCTTTCTTACGGAACCTGCTGAGGCCTCGCAATCTCCGGCTCGCATCCTCGCAGCTCGGCGCCGGGACGCCTCTGAGGAGCCGCGCGAGCCGGAGGAGGCAGGGGTTTAGGGTTTAGGGTTTAGGGTTTAGGGTTAGGGTTTAGGGTTTGGGGTTCAGGGTTTAGGGTTTAGGGTTTGGGGTTTGGGGATTCGAGTTTAGGGTTTCGGGGTTTTGGAGACTGGCGTTCAGGTTCAGTTTTTAGGGCTTAGGACCAAGGATTTGCAAGATCTTTCAAAATCCCAAGCCCTTGCGGCCCCACCCCGTGAATGGCACATCCGTGTGCCATAAAGGCAAACTAGGACCCAGAGTAGGCTTAAGGGGGTTTAGTTTCGGGTTTGAAGGGTAAGGTGTTCTGTAGTCTATAGGGTTGCGCAGAAGGGCCTGGGTATGGCTTTCGAGTCTTGACTCGTGGTTCATGGGTTTAGGGTTTAGGGTGGTCCCTTAGTCCCCTTATTAAAGTTTAGGTTCCCTTAGAAGCCCCTTTAAGCCAAAAAAGGGCACCCGTTTTATTCCTAGGTTACTCTTGGGTTTTATGGGCAATGATAGGTGAGCCCTGCACCCTACGTGACAGGCACCGGCCGGCCAAGTCCTGCAAGAAGACGGCCTGGCGCTGAAGCTCCATGTGGCTCAGGGTTTAGGGTTTTAGGGATTTAGGGTTTAGGGTTTAGGGTTTTAGGGTTTAGGGTTTTAGGGTTTAGGGTTTAGGTTTTAGGCTTAGGGTTTGGGGTTCAGGGTTCATGGGTTTATACGGTCTATAGGGTTTTTACCCCGAGATACTCAAGCATAGTTTGGGTTCAGGGCTTGTAGTTCTCTCAATCAGGCTCCGTTTTTTTTTTGCAAATGGGGATCGTACTAAAGGGGACCCAGAAAGGGATCCTAAATTTGAAAACGACCCATTCTTATACATATGTATATACACACGTACATATTTGTTTCTGTAGAGTGCGAAGGAGGGATCCTTGGTGTTGGCAAGAACCTTGCCAAGTAGCCCGTGCCAGAGGAAAGGGCTTAGGGTTCTGGGAGCTCAGAGTTTGGGGAGTTCAGGGTTCAGCGTTGAGGGCCTAGGGTGTGGCGTCAGAGGTCCTGGCAACTAGCAACCTTCCTGAGACGTAAACCCTAAACCCTAAACCCTAAAACCCTAAACCCTAAACCCTAAACCCTAAACTCCAAACCCCCCTTAGCCTTTTGCGGTACACAAGCTTCCAGAAGCCCCTCTTTCGCCACCTCTTAAGGCCCTCCGGATGCCGAAGCCGCACCGAGCCCGTCCTCGGACAAGGCAAATGCTGGTTTAGGGTTTCGGGTTCAGGGTTTGGGGTTTCGGGTTCAGGGTTCAGGGTTTGCAGGTTTGAGGGTTCAGGGTTTGAAGAGTTGAGGGTTTGGGGTACAAGTTATGCTGATGTTCGGGATCCTTGGCCTGTAGGGTTTTAGGGTGTTGCCGCTCTCGCTCATTCATGGTGTCAGGGCCATCTCAGCTCGTGATCCAACAAAAACCCTTCCAACTTGCACGCCGAACTCTACAAGCCCTAAGCCCTGAAGCCCTGAAAGGCCCAAGTCCAAGACAGACTACCACCTACTTGGAGGTTCGTGGGTACTTCTAAGTACGGTCGGGCTATAAGTAGGGGTCTCTATATGGTTATGACTTTGTTTAGGGCACTTGCAACCCTACTTCTTTGTACCCATGAACCTTCACCTTTTCAGGCCCAAAGCCCTCAACGGCCTTAACACCCGAGCCTTAAGAACCCAACAACTGCCTCAGCGTTTAGAGTTGAGGGTCTAGGGATGTAGAGTTGGTAAACTCTGCACCCTAAACCTTAACCCTAAACCCTTACTTATGTCATTAGAAACCCCAGAGACCCTAGAAATGCTTGAAACCCTTAAAGCTCAAAACCCACCAAAGCTCTCCAAACTCCCCTAGCACTAATATGCGCCCATTATCGGGTAACTCTTATAGACTATCAGAAGTTCCCCTACGTCAGAACCCCTTAAAGAAGGTAGGGGACCATACTGACCATACTAAGGGACCATGTAACTAAACCCTAAACCCTAACCCTAAGCCCTAAGCCCTAAGCCCTAAGCCCTAAGCCCTAAGCCCTAAGCCCTAAGCCCTAAGCCCTAAGCCCTAAGCCCTAAGCCCTAAGCCCTAAACCCTAAACCCTAAACCCTAACCCTAAACCCTAAACCATACACCCTAAACCCTAAACCCTAAACCCTAAACCCTAAACCCTAAACCCTAAACCCTAAACCCTAAACCCTGCGCCCCTTCGAGAAAAGCTCCGGCGCGCAGGCCGCCGAGGCTGCGGACACGGAGCCCGAGGTCTCCGCTTTTACAGTGTGGGGGGGTTAGGGTTTAGGGTTTAGGGTTTAGGTTTAGGGTTTAGGGTTTAGGGTTTAGGGTTTAGGGTTTAGGGTTTAGGGTTTAGGGTTTAGGGTTTAGGGTTTAGGGTTTAGGGTGTGCGGCTGTGGAGTTTAGGGTTCAGGGTTATGGTTTGGGGTCTAGGGTTCAGGGTTTAGGGGTTTATGGTTTGATCCCTATTGTCAAGGGAAGGAGGCTCCCCAGTTACTTATAACCCATGTGAAACCCTACTTAAGGGGCATATAAGGTGAGTTATGACTACAGTTCCAATTGGGTTATATGTACCCTAAACCCGAAACCCGAAACTCTAAACCCTAAACAGTAGTTCCAATTGGGTTATAAGTACCCTGAACCCCCTAGTTCAGGTCGACCACAAGCAGTGTTCGTGGGAGCACCATCCGGAAGTTTTTGGATGCGCGCCTCCATGCCCTGTGCGGAGGGTTTAGGGTTTATGCTGGATCGGTGGAACTACGAGCACTCTGGCTCTCGGCGAGGAACCGTGGTGGGCTGCAGATGGGATCAAGCATCCAGATGTCATGGAAGCCAAGATGGGAGGCTCATCCCAACAGGTCCACCACTGCTACTAGTTCCAGATCGCACGCCAGCTCGGCAGGCGATCCAAATGCACAACCTGGATTAGGGTTTGGGGTTTAGGGTTTAGGGTTCAGGGTTGAGAATGTGATTGTCGTTGTCATGATGACTATTTCTGCTTGTTCTCACCCTCGGGGACCATGCACCTTCGATGTAGGAGGTACATTCAGGCCCAAGTCCTCCCTATTTAGATACATGGACCCTTAGGGTCATTGTTTGGAGGAGGCAGTCGCCGCACAGCCCTCGCTACATCAACCTGACCCAAAACACCTGAAAGCGTGAAAGGCACAGACCGCACGCTCAGCCCTATACACCCCTAAACCCTAAACCCTAAACCCTAAACCCTAAACCCTAAACCCTAAACCCTAAACCCTAAACCCTAAACCGCCCTTCGAAGAACTAGGAAGTATAAGATACCTGTCTAGAACAAAGCCTCTAAGATGAGGACTTTCCATTTTCGGAATAGCCTAGTTGTAGAGTTTTAACCTGGTTTAGGGTGTACCTTCTCCCAAAACCCCCTTGCACTGTGCGTCCTGCGGGGAGCCCCCCAAGAAAACCAAAACCCTAAACCCCAAGCCCAAACCCCAAACCCTTAACCCTAAAACCCAAAACCCTAAACCCTACCCCTAACCCCAAAACTCAAACCCTGAACCCTAAACCCCTCATCCCTAGACCCCTAAACTCTAAACCGCCAGGCGGAGGCTGCCGGGTCGCCTCCCTTGAGCTTTAAAGGCCAGCAATCGTTGGTCTTGATCCCTAACCCTAAAAACCCAAACCCCTAAAACCCCTAAACCCTAAAACCCCTAAGCACCTAAACCCGAAAAACCTCAAAACCCTGAAACTCCTAAACCCTAAACCCCTAAACTCTAAACCTCTAAACCCTAACCCTGAACCCTAAACCGTAAACCCTCAACCCCTAAACCCTAACATGCGTAGTTAGGGTTTAGGAATTTCAGGCTGCTAGGGCTTTGGGATTGCTATTTAAAAGGGCGTAATAGGATTTAGGGTTTGGGGTTCGGCGTTCGGGGTTTGGGGTTTGGGGTTTGGGGTGCTTTTAGGAGACTGTGGACCCCACATACGCCCCAAAGTTTGGAGTTCACACCTGGCCTGAAACGACCCTAAACCCTAAACCCTACACCCTAAACCCTAAACCCTAAACCCTAAACCCTACACCCTAAACCAATAAACCCTAAACCCACCTCACCCTCCCAGAGCCCCAGCCAGAAAGCCCCACACCACCCCAAGCATCCTCAAAGCTGCGCCATGTCGACGAAGGAAGCCCCTCAGCCCCCAGCAAGTCCAGGACCACCAGGGTCAAGGGAGTTTAGGGTTGAGGGTTTAGGGTTGAGGGTTTAGGGTTTTAGGTGTTTCGGGGTCCCAGGGTTTAGGGGTTTTAGGGTTTTTTGGGTTTTTGGGTTTTAGGGTTTAGCTCTACCTGGGCCCCAGAAGGCGGGATTTTTGGGTTTGGGGACCCTTTGTAAAAAGAGCTCTAAGATGGTATAAGGACCATGTTTGGAGTCCATTACGGAAACCTTAGGAGTACAACCTTAGGGAAACCCTAAACCCCAAACTCAAACCCTAAACCCTAAATTCCTTGACAGGGGGCTTTTAGGGCTTTTGCAGGCTTTGGGGCGGGGCGGGGTGAGTGGTAATTAAGTTTCGAGGCTTGGGCATCAGAAGGTTTAGTTTGTTTAGGGTTCGGGGTTTAGCGTTTTCAGGGAAGATTTCAGGCATGCCGATAGGAACAAATCAGGGAGCCCTAAACCCTAAAACCTAAACCCTAAACCCTAAACCCTAAACCCTAAACCCCTAATCGGGAGATGTCGGGTACCAACTGTCCGGCTTCTTTGAGCACAAAAGCCGGTGCGGCGTCGGATTTCTGATGCCTCCTTGAGGTCTTATCCAGGAGTTTGCCGGGAGGCTTCAGTCCTAAACCCTGACCTCAGCCCTTCGTTGGGTCCTGGAAACTAGAGGGTTTTAGGGTTTTAGGGTCTTAGGGTTTCAGGGTTTCAGGGTTTCAGGGTTTTAGGGTTTTAGGGTTTTAGGGTTTTAGGGTTTTAGGTCTTAGGGTCTTAGGGTCTTAGGGTCTTAGGGTTTTAGGGTTTTGGGGTTTTAGGGTTTAGGGTTTTAGGGTTTTAGGGTCTTAGGGTCTTAGGGTTTTAGGGTTTTAGGGTTTTAGGGTTTCAGGGTTTTAGGGTTTTAGGGTTTCAGGGTGTTAGGGTTTTAGGGTTTTAGGGTTTTAGGGTTTTAGGGTTTTAGGGTTTTAGGGTTTTAGGGTTTTAGGGTTTTAGGGTTTTAGGGTTTTAGGGTCTTAGGGTCTTAGGGTCTTAGGGTTTTTGGGTTTTAGGGTTTTAGGTTTTAGGGTTTTAGGGTTTAGGGTTTAGCGAACTTTCAACAGTCAGTTGCTGATTACTTGGAGCCTTTGCCGTCATGGAGTATACTGTCTGAACATTCATATCTACAGATATTCATACACTTCTTTTTTTCAAGAGCAGAAAAGAATATGGAGAAGATAAGATGGTACAAAGATTGCAAACGTGCATAGAACAGCTGTCCCATGAGAGGACAGCTTATACACCTCATCTTCTAGTCGCTGAAAAAATGCTCTGACCCCTTGGGTTTAGGGTTTAGGGTTTAGGGTGTAGGGTGTAGGGTGTAGGGTTTAGGGTCACTGATTAGTTGACCTACTGAGCCGCTGACGTGGTAAAGAGGAACACGTCAAATAGACTGCAACGCAGCGAGTGCAGCTCCGACGAATGCTCCTTAAACCCTAAACCCTAAACCCCGGGCACAAAGGAGCTGCGGCCCCTCGCGAAGCGAGTACATCTCCAGGTTCGTAAGTCTCGAGCCCCAGTCGCGCCCAAAAGAGTCCAAGCATCCTGCATCTGTGCTTGTAGACCAACCCTAACCCTAAACCCTAAACCCTGAACCCTAAACCCTAAACCCTAAACCCTAAACCCTAAACCCTAAACCCTAAACCCTAAACCCTAAACCCTAAACCCTAAACCGCAAAACCAACCCTGCAGCAAGAGCACCATCCTCAGGGTTCTCGGGGCCCTCCATCAAAGGCCTCACGGGGTATTCGGAGCGTGAGGGATGCTGTAGGTACTCCGTTTCATGGCTCAGAGCTCCGAGTCTGGGGTTCATGTGGGTGGTTGTCAAAACTATAGTCCCTTTTGGATCCCTATTATAATACGGCACCTAATATTTAGGGTACCCCAAAAGGGATCATAATTTTGACAGCCACCCATGTGGTTTGGAGCTTGGGTTTCTGAATATGGTTCAGGGTTTAGGGTTTGGAGCTAAGTTAGGAGCTTAGGGTGTACAGGGTCTACGGGGTTGGTTGTTACAGGGGCTACAGGTTTTACAATAGGGTTTACTAAGGTTTACAGGGGTTGCAGGGTTTACAGGGTTTAGGGTGAGGGCTGAGCTCTGAACGTAGAATGCGTCTGCCGAGGCCGCATGCGAAATGCCCAGATCGCCATGCCTTTCCCTGAGATAGACGAGACGGGAGTGTTGTTTCGGATGTTAACCCTAAACCCCAAACCCTCAACCCTAAACACTATAAACCCTAAAACCTCAACCCTGTTCATATACACTACTCAAGCTTAAGCCCGATTTAGAGTTCAGGGAGGGCCAGCTTGGGAACATCCTGATGGGTCTGGGCACCTCAATTACTCCGGGATTAGGGTTTTAGGGTTTGGGCTTGCATGTCGGTGCCGCGGGTGGAAACCCTGGTTTAGTTAGACCATCCTGTACCGTAAACCCTGACCTGAACCGTAAACCCTGACCCCGCAACCCCAATGCACAGACCTTCTTACCCTAAACCCCTAACCCCTAACCCCTAACCCCCAACCCCTAAACCCTAAACCCTAAACCCTAAACCCTAAACCCTAAACCCTAAACCCTAAACCCTAAACCCTAAACCCTAAACCCTAAACCCTAAACCCTAAACCCTAAACCCCAAGCCCACCTAGACCCTAGTGGCCTTTAAGAGGTCACTTTCAGATACCCCATGCTACCTACCCTTAAGCCCTAAGGGGAACGTGGGTGCAAAACATCCACAGGAACCTCCGAAATCCCTAGAGCTTGCACCCCAAACCCCAGACGCCTAAGTCCGAAACCCTGCGGGGTTTAGGGTTTAGGGTTTCGGGTTTAGGGTTTAGGGTTTAGGGCCCAGACATCCTACACCCGAAGACCTCGAACCCCAAGCAACTCGGGACCCTCGACCTTTCTTGCAGGGAGGGGTTCAGGGCAAGAAAGGGGATACGGGTTAAGGGTGTTGGGTTTTTAAGGTTCAGGGTTGGAGGGTTCCGGGTGTAAAGCAGATTTGGTTGGGGCTTTGGGATTGGGGTTTAGGGTTTTGCGTTTTGGGTTTTAGGGTTCAAAGAACTTTTGATTTCCAATACATACCGCGTGACCAACACTGAAACCCTTCAACCCCGAGCCCTGAAAGCCCGCAAGCCCTATACCCCTGCACCATAAAAAAGCTCTGCCACTGTGTGGCGTGCAGCTCTCCCCGCAGAGTCGAAGAAATATCCGAAACCCCGGCAACTTGGAGGAAACATACAACTTCGACCGTGAACATCGTCTGGAAGTGATGAACAACCCTGATCCGCCAGAGCCCCCAAAACCAAAACTATGGGTTTCCCTACTACCCCCTCTATACTACCCCCAGGTTCCCCCCTTAAAGCACCCCCAATAAGGCTGAATCAGCCCTAAATAGCCTCAATTATGAGGGGAATAAACACGGGGGGTAGGGGAACCCATGAAAACCCATAAATCATCCTGAAACAACCCACAGCTGCCCCCAAATCCCAAGCAGTACATCTCAATGTCCTTGAGCCTTGAATCGAATTGCCTTGAACCACCCTGCGAAGCCCCGGCCCGTAATCTCTTCAACCCTAAACCCTGAAACCCTGCCTGGGACTCTATTTCCCTACAGATTCGTAGTAACTACCATCCATTTGTAGGTAGAACCCATAAAAACCGTAGGCCTTTGGGGTCCCAGGTATTCTTTCTAAGGCGACTCGAGTAGGGTTTAGGGTTTAAGGGGTTTGGGGTTTAGGGTTTAGGGTTTAGGGCTTGAGGAAGTGTGCCCGGCACCTCACCGACTGGAAGCGGCCGCTGCCTCGTGCAGTGTCAAACCCACTGCTTGTTGAGGTTTAGGGTTTAGGGTTTCATGTTTAGGGTTTAGGGTTTCGGGTTTAGGGTTTAGGGTTTCGGGTGTAGGGTTTAGGGTGTAGGGTTTAGGCTGGGATGGTTCCCCTTATACGAACAGTCCTTAATAGGGATTATCATCGCGGGGGGGGGGGGGGGGTAACCAACAATCCCGATTAAGGATTGTTAGTGTAAGGGGGAACATCCCAAATTTGTGTTTTCGGTTTTCTGCTTTGCAAGAGCCATCGTGCGATCCCATACCCATGACACTATCCCCTAAACCCTAAGGCTACCCCCATCCGAACTTCCAGGGAGTAGGGCTTGGGGCCAGGGCTGGCATATAGCGCCCAGATAGCCCCTCTAAGCCCGTAACTAAAACCACGATATACTAGGTTATCCTTCAAGATATTTTAAGAATGTTCCTTATGTGGGTTTTGAAGGGACTTCCCCCCCCCCCCCCCCTACACTAATATTTTTCTAGGGGTGGAAAGGCCAACCCAGTGTAGTTCTACAAGGGCTCCAGGTCAAGCCTTTGAGGTTTTGGGACTCTGAGGTTTCATCAGTTACGGTTGACCTGGGTTTTGGGGGAACTCGGTTCTTGCTTGCCAACCCTGCGTAAACCGTATACCCTCCACCCTAAACTGCCCAAAACCCCGGGTCCCGGCGTGTAGGACTCAGAGTCGAGAGTGTGAGACCTATCCCTAAACCTTATACCCTAAACCCTAAACCCTTAGAATCCTTCCAGCCTGCCTTGGAAAAGTCGGCTTTCAGGAGCCACAAGCCCTTGAAACCCTAAACTTGTCTTGTACTAGCAGTCCTTCATAGGGATTGTAATAGGGGGTACCAGAATCCCTGTTAAGGACAGTCAGTACAAGGGTGAACCTCCCAACCCTAAACCCTACATCCCGAAACCCTACACCCTAACACCCAGTACATGCAACCCCCCAAAAACCCCAAATGTGCAGCCTCAGGCTACATGGTTGCCCTCAGTCCTCGCCCGTCTTCATTTGTGCAGGAGGTCGCGTCGTGATGTCTTGGTGGGACGGCGGGGGGAGGGAGGGTGGGGGGCAGCCGGGGCTGGGTGTGGTGTCCTATTTTTAGGTTTTTTTCTTTTTGGTTTCCGGGGCAGGGGGGGTGGGGGGGTGGGAGGGAGGGTTTAGTTTAGAGTGTGCAGTACTGCTGTTTATGTTTGTTTGATTTTTGTTTTGATGCGGTGTTGGGCTCGGGATTGAACAAGAACCTCCAGAGGACACAGGGTTCTTGATGGCTATGGGATGAGGTGGGTTTGGCGTTTTAAGTGCATGTTGCTATTCCCAATCAAAAGGCATACTCACTGCTATGTATATGTATATGTATATATATATATGTACATGCACAAATTCTGATCAAGGGGTAACAGGGCTCCCGGAGTTTGGAGAAAGCACCTCGCCAGGCTACCCCGACTTTACCAACGCCATGCGTCGGAGAGGGTGGTATCAGAACGAAGACAAGGACCCACATGGGGAGTTTAAACTCCTAAGGGTGTGGGGTTTGGGGAGTTTAAGCCCCTCAGGGTGTGGGGTTTAGGGGGTTTAGGGGTTCAGGGCCAGTTTTGAGTGTAAGGGTTTAGGGTTTAGGGTTGTCCCTGAAACCCGAAACCCGGACCCGGAGAGCCCAGAGAGGGTCCGGCCTGAGAACCCCTGAGCCGGCCAACGTCGCACTGATGTCAAAGGCTGTGGGGTTTAGGGTTTAGGGTTTAAGGGTTGAGGGTTTTGGGTTTAGGGCTAGGGTTTAGGGCATGAGTTTTGGGTTTCGGGTTTAGGGTCTTCTCGTAGTTCTTTCATGGGGTTCTACCTCCCTGGACCCCCAAGATTGCACCCTTGGGTTTGGGGACCTGTTAACGATCCTCTAAGGGAATATAAGGGCAAATTCGAGGTATAGAAGTTTGACTCCCTTGATTGTTGGAGACCCCTCTGGTTCTTAGTAAGGAATGAGAGAATTACAAGGGCCCTCTATATATATATATATATATATACCCTTTAAGGGATTATATCGGGTACCTCGTTCCCACATTCCCTACTAAGAACCAGCCAGGAGAACATCTTTAACCCGAAGCCCTGAACCCTAAGTGTAGGGTTTAGGGTTTAGGGTTTAGGGTTTAGGGTTTAGGGTTAGGGTTTAGGGTTTAGGGTTTCGGGTTTAGGGTTCAGGGTTCAGGGTTTAGGGTTTTGGGTTTAGGGTCCACCATGTCCCCCGCAGCCCAGTCTGCCGACCTTAGCAGCTGGACCTGAAACCAAAAACGTATCCTCAGACCTTACACAATATAAACCCTGAAGTCCTGAGCCCGATGTCCCTACGACCCTGCAACACTGTAAGCCTATAACCGTATAACCCTATAACCCTAAACCCTAGGTATGGTAACCACCCAGTCATCATGAACCTTCAACTAGGCTTCAGGGCTTCGGGAGCCCTAAGACTCTTGGGGCTTCCGAAGACCTAAACGGCGGAATGCCCTCAACCAAGCCCAACATCTCCAAAGCATGCGTCGACAACATGAACGAAATCAAATCCACAAGAATTGCAGTAATCATGCCAACTAGAAGAACGGTCACAAGAAGCAGAGCACCCTAAGCTCTAAGCCCTAAAACCCCAAACCCCAAACCATGAACTCTAGTAATAATAACAATGCGAAATCGTTCCAGGACTCCCGTTTCTTCGATATCAAGTGGGCACCTGCTGCAGCGATTGATCATGACAATCTGCTGGCGGGGCAGGCGCGGTCGAGGGGCCCAAAGGCTCAACCCCTAGGGTGTTTAGGGTTTTTAGGGTTTTTTGAACCCCTATGCCCTGCACCCCCAGCCTGTTCTATCTAGGCCTTGGGTTCAGGGTCCAGGGTGTATGGGGTTTAGAGGGTTTAAAGGGTTTATAGGGTTTGTAGGCTTTGTAGCGTTTATAAGGTAAATAGGGTTGTCTGGCGAATGGGTACATTATGTATGGTCTATGTGGTTCAGGGGGTACCCTCTGTTCCAGGTGGTGAACCATTTCCACGGCAACCGGGAAATCACCACGAAGGCTGCCTTTGGTAGGGCTTGGTGTCCAGGCTTTAGGGACGGGTGGGGCGGGGGGGACGCTTGGAGTTGAAATTTTAGGTCCCCCGCCCCCCCGCCACCAAAGCCTATACACTAAACCCTCAACCCTAGACCCTAACCCCTAAAAAGCCAAACAGCCAACCGAAGACCTTTTGTATAAACCTGAACCTGTGAATCTAAACCCCTAAACCCTAAACCCTGAACCCTAAACCCTAAACCCTAAACCCATGGACCTTCAAGCCTTTGTGCCCTAAACCCTAGTCCCTAAACCTCAAACCATTGATCCAGAGCTGGTCTAGAATATTTCGCAAGCCAAGCTCAAAGTCTCCACAAATCTGGGGATTTAGGGCTTCGGGTTTAGAGTTTCGAGTTTAGGGTTATTCCAGTTTGAAGGGCCTTCACGTTGTTCTGTTCATGATGTTTGGGGCGACTGTTGGGGGAGCGGGGGGGGGGGGGGGGGGGGGGGGGGGCTCATGAGACCTAATCCCCAAACCCTACACCCTAAACCCTAAACGACAAGCCCTTGAAGGATGTCTGTCTTGTTTTGGTCGGTCTAGGGCCCCTATAAACCCTCAACCCTCAACCCTCAACCCTCAACCCTAAACCCTAAACCCTAAACCCTAAACCCTACACCCTAAACCCTAAACCCTAAACCCTTTAGGGTCCCAAGTTTCTGGCCCCTACTGTCCTAAGCCATCAAATGCCAACCCTCCACCCTAGAGCCCTAAAGCCCTGGACGCTTCTAAACCCCCCCTGAATGCCCAGCCCCTGAACCCTAAACGTAGTCCCCTAGTGAAGCCCTAAACCGCTAGACCCCTCTAAGCCCTAAGCCCTAAACCCCAAACCCTCAACCAACGCTGCAAGCTCCCAACCCCCTGTAAGTCTTGGAGCCCCAAGCCCTGACCTGCGGCAGCCCATAGGTGGGTTCAAGGTTTAGGGTTTAGGGTTGGGGTTTAGCATTTAGGGGGTATCGCTCGTCTTGACAATGGCCGCTGGCGACCCACTTGCCATGGCTATTTTGCAGACCTAGACTACCATCATTTAGCCCGCGCTCCGCAGCGTGAACGATGCTGAAGTACTAGGTCCTGTGCACCCTGAACTACACCTTGCTTGACGTCATAGGTTTTTAGGGTTTAGGGTGGCATATCCCTTGATCTGCCGCAGCCCCAACCCACCCCGCCCTCGCCCTGCTGGGAAGGTGGGGCTTACCCTGAATTTGCGCAACTGCTTGCCCATGTGCCGCTCTTGGAAAAGGGGCCTTGAGGTACATACAAGAAAATCTATAGATCCTAAATGCCCCTAAAGCCTGAGTCCTATAAGCCTAACTCCTATGGATGTCTAGTTTCAGGTTGGTTACTGTAGGGGATGCGTTTGGGGGATTGAGATTTGTTTGGTGTTTTCGGGTTAAGGGGTAGAGGGTCATGCGTGTTGAACCACCCCGACCCCCTGGTAGACGAAAAAGAGTACACACCCAACAGGAACTAATTACCGAAGAGGTAGCACCGGTTCGTCGGATTTGGCATGGATGCGCCTACTCCTAGCCGTTTCTGACATGAAGGTTGAATCCACGGGCTGTCCGCAAAAATGTTGTTAAAGTAAGGGTTCCCCCTTTTCAGGGACCCTTTTTCCAGACTTAGTCCAACCCTACCATTACAAAATTACTATTGTTATGATATTTTTCATAAAATTCAATCTTTGTATTTGATAATAATGTATCATTCGCAGAGAATCGGGGTTTCTCAAGGGTTTAGGGTTTAGGGTTTAGGGTTTAGGGTTTAGGGTTTAGGGTTTAGGGTTTAGGGTTTAGGGTTTAGGGTTTAGGGTTTCCCAAACCCCAAACTTCCCACAGCCCCAAAAAGCCCCGCGACAGCCAAGCCCAGGTGTGGCGCGGACCCCGACTCCTTCTACCCGCGGGCTTACGACCTCTACGAGCCTGGGGAGTGCAGGGCCCTGGAGGTTTCTTTTGAAAAGGGTCCTAAAACCCTAAACCCTATAAACCCCATATAAATCCTATAAACCCTATAAACCCTATAAACCCTAAAACCCTAAAAACCCTATAAACCCTATAAACCCTAAACCCTAAACCTAAACCCTAAGCCTAAGCCCTAAACCCATTAGAGTCTTGGGTTAGGTTTTGGGAGGGCCGGGCCCTGGCTTTTGGGAAATTGAGGGCATTTTGAGGGGGGCAGGGTTTAGGGATTAGGGTTTCGGGTTTAGGGTTTAGGGTTCAGGTTTTGGGGTTTGTAGGGTTCAGTAGGATTTGTGGGTTTTGCGGGGTTTGTAGGGTTTAGGGCTGAAGGAGAGCTTAGAAACTAGGTTAGGGCCTTCATACTTCTGGCCCCTAAACCCTAAACCCTAAACCCTAAACCCTAAACCCTAAACCCTAAACCGCTTTTATCGAGATTCTCCATTTGGTACATTTCCCTGCATAGCTTGCGTTTCGGCCCATCGCCACAGGGAGCTTCGTCGGCAGAACTAAAGACGCGGCCGAGGCCATAGCCGAAACCATAAACAGTTCAGAACCACCTAGTGTCCCCTATTAGTACGCTTTGACGGATTAAATCGGGTGCCTAATTCCCTCATCCCCTACTAAGACTACTAAGAGCCAGTAGGTTAAACTCCAAAAGCACCTGAAAAGGTACAATCTGATGCGCCGTCAAAAATCACTTCACCCGGGCAGAAATTGAGCCGGGGCTTCGTATGTTCTTTTTGTTCGGAGGGGATTTTGGATGATTTAGTTATCCCGAAACTAGACTTTCCCTGGATTCACGGCTGTTGTGTGTGTTCAAGCCCCAAACCCCAAAGCCCCGAAACCCAAACCCTAAGCCTTGAAACCGAGATCCCTAAGCCCCTAAACCCCAAACACTAAACCCTAAACCCTAATCAAACCCCAAACCCTAAACCCTAAACCCTAAACCCTAAACCCTAAACCCCAACCGCCTGCATTCCCAGGCGCTCGGAGTTTGCCATGAATTTCAAGTTTACAAAGGCCGGGCAATTGAAGGGTTAGGGATGTTCCCCCTTATTGCTAACAGTCCTTCACAGGGTTTAGGTTTTAGGGCCCAGGGTTTAAGATTTAGGGTTTAGGGTTTAGATTTTTCGTTTAGGCTATTGAGATTGCCTTGGGCCCTTTGGAGCCGAATTACCACAACCCTGGACCCGAGGGTTTAGGGTTTAGGGTTTAGGGTTTAGGGTTTAGGGTTTAGGGTTTAGGGTTTAGGGTTTAGGGTTTAGGGTTTAGGGTTTAGGTTTAGGGTTTAGGGAGCCGAAACCCTCGATGCCCTAGCTAAGCTCCTGAACCTTCTGTGTCCGTAGGCATGATATCGCCAAGCCCTAAGGTTACAACTGCAACCGCCTCAACGCGAAACCCCTGAGCCCTAAGCTCCGAATAAACTCCAAACCCTAAACCCCTAAGCCCGAAAGCCTCATCTCCAAACCCCAAACTAAACTCCCTAAATACCTAAGCCCGGAACCCGAAACTCCCAACCCTAAACTAAACTCCTTACCCGAAACTCCAACCCCTAAAACCCTGAACCCGAAACCCTAGACGCCAAACCCTAAACTAAACTCCCGAAGTCCCTAAACTGAACTCCTTGAATCCCTAAACTCCAAAACCCCCATAACCCCCTCAAAAACCCTAAACCCTACACCCTAAACCCTAGCCCTAAACTCCAAACCCTAAACCCTAAACCCTAACCCGAAAAAGGCTCAGGCCATCCTCAGGGAGTTTCTTCGCAACATCGACGGCCGCGCGGCGCCGGGCTGAGGTTTAGGGTCTAGGGTTTAGGGTTTAGGGTTCGGGTTTCGGGTTTCGGGTTTAGGGTTTAGGGCTTAGGGTTTTGGGTTTAGGGTTTAGGGTTTGGGTTGTAGGGTCTACGCTGCAGGAGTAGCAGGCTCAGATTCCCAGGGTTGAGGGAGTACCCATTTCGCAGCACCTACGGTTGCAATTGGAAAGATGTGGGGGCTTCCGAGATTAGGGGTACCTTTTTTGGGCTCCTTATCATAAGAGTCTGGGTCCCTCATTTTTGGAAACCCCCATGAAGAGGGCTGCTTCCCCGCACCTGAAAAGACCCAAGCCCAAAGCCGTAGGTTTGGGGTGGGTTAGGGTTTAGGATTTAGGGTTTCCGATGAAAATCAAACTCCCTGAAAGCCTTAAACCGTACAGTTTGGGTATTCCGAAAAGATCTTGTCTGCAGCACAGCAACGGCACCTAACCACCTAGGACCCATCGTGGCCCTTATGCTCTTTTCTTGGTTCAGGTTCCCTTTATCAGGCCCTTTAGACCAAAAAGGGGCACCCTTCTTTACTTCCTGGGTTAGTCCTGGGTCTAGGAATAACCGACTGAAGAGGAAGCAGAAGAAGCTGAATCGGTCCATCAGTTGATACACAGCAGATTGGCGACGATCGAGCTTCGGGTTTAGGGTTTACGGTTTGGGCTTTAGGGTTGAGGGAAGGAATAGCGTTGGTAGAAGTGATGGAGGCTTTAGGACTCTGAGACTCGCCCCTCATTCGCTACGTTGCGCTGCTGCACATGTCGGACTTCCGATGGACAAGATAAGCATTATCCGCGACTCCCCCGAAGCTGGCTTCGCACTGTCTTTGTCGGGTCCGCCGTCATCCACAGCAGCTAATTGGCGCTTTCCAGCTCAGATAAGCAGCGTTCCAGCGAGAGAAGCAACTACGTCACACTCACCATCATACGTGTTCTGCCTAGGTTCGCTCTGCGCCGCCCTCAGAAGTAGGGGCCGCGCTAGCCAGACAGCCCGAAGCAGCACTCACCATCATGCTGCAGAACTACGACTGGAAGAGGTATTGGAAGGGGCATAAAGTAAGGATCAGTGCGCCTCTGCAAAACGGCTTCTCGCCCTAAACCCTATCCCCTAAACTCCTAGACGCCTTAAAGCCCCAAGCTCCTACATCCAAACACCTTACACCCCAGCCCCTTAAGCTTATATGCCCTAAACCCTAAGCTAAGCTCCAACACCTAACCCTAAGCCCTATTCGAGGTGAGTAGTTGCTTTGATTTAGGACGTTTGGGGGTGCAGTCGTCCTTAACCCTCAACCCTCAACCCTAACCCCAAACCCCAAACCCCGAACCCCAAACCCCGAACCCCAAACCCCAAACCCCAAACCCTAAACCCTGAATCCTGAAAAAACCCTTTGATTCGCAATGGGGTTCCTTGAAACTGTAGGCCACAAGCGGCCAAGCCGGACGCTCACTCCGATGCGACCACCCCGAGCCCCCAACCCCAAACCCCAAAACCCTAAACCCTAAACCCTCAGCCCGAAACCCTAAACCCTAAGCCCTAATTAAGCCCTAAACCCTAAACCCGAAACCCTAAACCCTAAACCCTAAACCCTAAACCCTAAACCCTGAACCCTAGCCCATCCCAAACCATTGGTTTCAACCCCGGGTTGAGAAATGCAGCCTGCTTCAGACGATGACCTTCAGCAGCGACGTCGTACGGCTTGCGTACAAGGTGCCGTCCAGCGTTTCCCCAGAGCCTAAACCCCTAAACCCCAAACTCTAACCCTAAACCAGAAACCCGCGAATCTTATAAACCCTAACCCCTGAATCCTAAACTCTATAAGCCCTGAGCATCCTAAAGCCCGTCAGTGAAAAACCCCCAAAGCCCCAAATCCTAAACTCGAAGCCCACACCCTGCAGACTCCCTGTATAAATCCAAGCTTGCTTATCTGCTGGGTGGGTACCCTTGTTGGGAGTACTCGAGCTCAATTTACCAGCCAGCCCCTCAACCCTTATCCCGAAACCCTAAACCCTGATCCCTAACCCCCCCCGCCCCCCCCCCCCCCCCCCTCCGGAAAATTCCGACATCATTGAACAATGCCCTCGCTGACAGATCTGCCTCCGGCTCGTCACAGACCCCTCCGAGGTCATGGATAGCTCCTCTTCGGCGCTTATTCCCCCACCTCCTTTTTCCCCTCTTTTTCGCTAGGTTTTTCCCCTGAACCAGCTTTGGGGAAACTCCCAACCCTAAGCCCTGAATCGTGAAACCCTAACCCTCACACCTACGTAAACCCGAAGACCTACTCAACACTAAACGCGGCCCTAAAACCCATACACCCCAAAAAGCCCTACGCCCTAAAATCTTTTGAAAGGCTGTAAACCTAAACCCTATCCCAAAAACCCCCTAAACCCCATAAGTCGCACAAACCCTATAAACCCCATAAACCCACAAACCCTTTCAACCCTATACACCCGCAAACCCTATCAACCCCGTAAACCCTGTAAACTCAAAACCCTATAAACCGTATAGATACGAAATCGTATACGCCCTGTAAATCTGTAAACTCTAAACCCTATGTCTAAAGTTTCGTGAAGAAAAAGGCGCGCCGGACGCAGGCTAACGGTCCAAATTCCCCTAAATCCTATACGCCCTCTTACACCCGACGCCCTAACCGCTGCGCCCACAATCCTCAACCAGGAACTTTAGACTAAGTGGTAGTTTCTCTCCAAGGGGCTTCTTCGAGGCAGTCAGCAAGAAGACATAACCCTAAACCCTAAACCCTAAGCCAAGAAGACATAAACCCTAAGCCCTAAACCCTAAACCCTCATCCCTAAACCCCAAACCCCAAACCCCAAACCCTAAACCCTAAACCCTAAACCCTAAACCCTAAACCCTGAACCCTGAACCCTGAACCCTGAACCCAACACCCGAAACTCCCCCTCGACTGCTGTAGCAGCAAATCCCCAGGTCCAGAGTTGGCAGAGGCTTTAAACCACGTCTCAGACAAGGAGGGCGCTGCCAGGGTTTAGGGTTTAGGGTTTAGGGTTTAGGGTTTAGGGTTTAGGGTTTAGGGTGGGTCTGGGGGTAGGGTTTAGCTCAAGGTTTTCCGGGTCTTTGGGATCGGGTTTAGGGATGCTGGGCTCAGCATCATTGAAGTTCGGAGTATATCATGACTGAGTCAGCGATGGTTGCCAGCTGACTCATGTATATCATTGGGCGGTCTGGTCAGGTCCAGAAAGTGTACGTGTCAAGGATTAGATGGCACATTAAGACACTTTTCAACTTGGGCTTCGTTCAGTTGTTACTGGTCTGACATGGTCACACCGCCGCTAAAGTTAGTTGCAAGTCACAAGCTGGTTTGGGTTTATGGCTTCAAGTGGCAGTTGTGGAAGTGCTGACCAGGATCTCTTCAGCAGCCAAGTTTCTTGCAGCTCATAGAGAGCCACCTGGCCCTGCCGACTCAATACGATATCCATGGCAAGGCTTGCGTGCGTTCGGCGCTTTGCTTTGCCTTTGGTGCTCGCAGGCCGCTCGCCAGGTTGCTGTTATCCATCCTGCCTACCTTCCCCCCCCCCCCCCCCCCCCCCCCCCCCACATGGAACTGTTGGCTGCCGGAAATGCTTTCTGCGTACAGCTGGCGATTCACTGTCTAGTTGTCTAGTTTCATGTCCGAACACTTTTGTGCAACTTGTGCAGCTTATGCAGGCTGTTTTTGGTGTCTGCGACTGAGGCTTGCTCTCAGGGCCTTGTGCAACCTTGTGGCTTGCGGGCACTTCACATGGATTTCGAGCTGCGCGGCTGTCAGCGACCAACATTCTCCGCCGGGTCAGGCCAGAACACACGAAAAAGTTGCGCAAAGCCAAAGAGGCCCTGTCCCAAGACAGCAACCTCTTGAGGGCACAGAAGCGTGCAACGAGCCAGATTGCAGCGTGCAAGTCTGCTGAAGAAGTTCTATCAGTAGTGGGAAGCACAAGGCCACAAGAGTTGAACGAGATATCCTTGTCCGCTAGCATCACGCGGATTGCGCAGCTACAGCCGCAGAATCTGGCATCCCAGCAGCAGCAGACTCCAACGTTCGAGGCTTTGCTCGAACGTTTGGACGAATACCTGCGCAATCCAGCAGTTCAACACGTCTCAGTGGCCAGCGTCTTGTGGGCCATTGCAGCGTCACGTGAAAACATCCCAGAGTTTCAGAAACTTCTGCCAGCAGCTGTGCTCGGTCTTGAATCTTCAGTTCACAAGATGCGGGAACGGGAGATCACCAACTCCATTTGGGCTGTTGCAACATTGCACACCTATGTTCCTGAGTCGCGTTCTTGTTTGAAGATCGACTCGGTGTGCGAGCTGTTTGCGGGCCAGCCGAGAACATTTGGAAGAATACGAAGTGTCCAAGCCGTGGGGAACGCTTTGTGGGCACTCGGACGTCTCAGGAATGTTGCTCCTCCCCGACTTCAAGAGCAGCTCGAGCCAGTTCTTCTCGCACGTTGTCGTGAAATACTTGCATGCGATGTGTTCCAGGTGGACAGGACTGTCAGGTTGAGTGGCGTGGCTCGTGTGGCATGGGCCCTGGCATTGTTGGAGCGCCCAGATGAAGGAATATTGGGAAGAGTTCGGCACTTTTTTGTGGAGTCAGCTGGGACGTGCTCCGGAAGTCGTTTGCTACCCTTTGTAGACGTGCTGTGTGCCCTTGCAAAGCTCAACATGACGGATGGTGGCCTCGTTGAAGTTGTAGCTGCGCGTCCATGGTCTTTGAAGTCGATGCGCGATTGGGAGTCTTGCCTGCCTTATAAATGTACGTAGGACCCCAAAACCCCCAAAGCCTTCCCGGCGCTTGCCATCAGAAGTACGAACCCTCAGTTTGGCACCT